ATAACCTGTTTAGGAGGGACAGAGGTCAGACAAGGGGGGGGGGGGGGGGGGGGGATTGGCAGCATCTCGGTGCTATCTTTACAAAAGGGGGTACCTTGATGCAAATAAGCCCCCCTGCCCACAGACGCCCACAACCACCAGGTCAGGGTTGTGGGGAAGAGGCCTTTATCCCCATCGGTATAGGGACAAGGGGCAGACCCCTGGAAAAGCACCCTCCCATTGCCAACAGCATGTGGCCTGATACGGTGCAGGGAAGGGGAGCGCTCGCTCGTACCCCTCCCTTTTCTGCCCTGCCAGGCCAGTGCCAAGATTAAGGGTTTGGTTGTGAATTTTAGCGGGCACCCAACTTTTTCTCCCCATTTTGTGGTGGTGGGGTCCCCCCTTAAAATTCCTACCAGACCTAAAGGGCCTGGTATGACTTTTGGCTTCACTTACTTTTTTTCTTATTTTTAACTCAGGGGATCCCTCCTAACATTCCTAAAAGAACTAAAGGGTCTGGTATGAATCGGGAGGGGGACCCCACGTGTTTATTTATTTTTACTGTTTGTTGGAAGAACAATCTGCTTCGGCAGACCATTGTCCAGCTTCGGCAGTATCTTTGGCTTAACCGAGCCAACGCATATGCGTTTGACTCGGCTGAGTGCTTCGGCTGCTGTACAGGCTATTGTGAATAGGGTGAACCGAAGGGCTCCCGCAGCCGAAGCGAGCCGAAGGATTAGCCAAAGCTTTGGCTTAATCCTTTGGCTCCTTACTGAATAACCCCCTTTTTGTTTGTCACCAGAGATAAAATGGCATAAAAAAATATACAGGCCATAACACCCACAACAAATTCCACCCAACTCAAGTAAATCAAAAAGTAAGATACCCCGACTTCAAGAAATCATCATATAAGAAACTATAAGTTAAGCATCGGGTATTTATACCTGAAGCTTAGATTATAGTTCCTGATTATGTACAAAAATGGCATAACTATAAATAAAATGAGGAATGCAAATATATATATATATATACATATATATATATATACATCTTTTATTTAGTTATAATGGATGTATGTCTACATAGGCTTTTATTCAAAAGTACCAAAAGCCATTAGCACAATCTAGGCACTACTGAGCACTTCATGGCAATTGGTGTACTGGAAGCATATTGAGGAGTGTGGCTCTGTACAAATGGGTCGTTAGTAATATGTTGTTTCTATTTTTTTCCAAGTTGTACTTATCTTAAAACATTGCACTCTCACTTGCAAAGTCATTTATACAAACAGTACGTGTTTGTATAAATAACTTCCATCAGCTCATTACACCAATTGGAAAGCACATCCTAGTAAGCATCTTTCATAGATAGGCTGGTTGTTTTTTGGCATCCTTTATTTACGCTATGGGCCTTTAAACATATTATGTAGCACCCCAACTGTCCTTCTGAGCATGCAATTGTGAGCACACCTCAAGATTTCTATTGGAATTCCTTCAACTGAAATTTTGTTTGTTTTCCTCTTTGACTTGCTGCTACCTTTTATAATTAGGGATGCACCAATACCGTTTTTTTTGGTATTGACTAAGAGTACCAATATTTATCTTTCAATACTAACCAATACCAGTACTTCCCTAGCATGGAGACAGCTTCCCAGGCAATCATTGCTAACAGCGGGAGACTCCTGGAGCGTCCGGGAGAGTTGGGATGTCTGTATGTACAGTGCAGTGAGTGAGTGTTGTCACCTGTTGACAGGAAGTGTGTTCCTGGAAGGAAGACCAGGTGAAAATAATGAAATAAAATGCTTATCTAAGGGCTGGTAAGCTGCAGTATAATATATGTTGAGGATCCGCTTTAAAAGAATTCTGAAGAACTTAGAAAAGCCAAAAGAAAAACAGTACCCCAGTGCAAAAAAGAGAAATCATTGACTTCTCAGCCTACAACTTCTTTTCCTATGGCTTATTAAGAAAAACATGCTTTAGGAAAGCATAAGGATAGAACTCTTGTGTGCACAGACAATTAGCCATGGACCTGCTATCCCTACATAAAACCTCCATAGGAATCACTTGAGAATATGAAAGCTGCTATTAGTGACTTGTCCTTCTAATAATGAAAGTTACCTGACTGTAACTTCTGTTCCACATTCTTCTTCGTGGCCAGTACATTAGAAATTAATAAACCATTGGAACAACATGGCAGATAGGTCACTAGCTTTTTATTTGTGATTTTGTATTTATGCAAAGTTATGTTTTTCTCCTTGTACTGAATTTGTACCTGTTTTCTTCTGTTTATAAAATATATCTTAGAGCACACCAAACTCAAAGATATAAAAATCTATTAAGACAGTGTCATGTGGGTCTTATAGTGTTTCATTTAATCTCAGTCTGATCAATTAAACTGTCTTTTGTATTTCAGCTCGCCATGCCAACATTTCCTGTTGTGGTAAAGATTGGACATGCTCATTCCGGAATGGGAAAGGTATGTTCATTTTTCTGTGCCTATATCTCTATGTTATTGACCTATGAAAGCAATCAGCATGCATTCTTGTAATTTAAGCATCAGGGTCAATGGGGTGCTCAGATAGCTTTATATTTTGTGGTTAGGGGAACTTTAATTCCTATATTTTACCTACTGGAAAGATTTTATTTTCCTTATTCTTTTTTTATGAGTATGAATATTGTATAAAAGCAAAATGATCTGTATGTTACTTGAGATTAACCTGTATGTTTCGGAGGATAACATGTATATGGCTGCATTTATATATTTCCTGTAACTATTTATGCATAAACTACTTTGTGAAAAAACTTTCATTAGTAAGTAGAAATAGCCAGTCTAAGACTAAGGACAGCCCTACATGGCTTAAAGCTGGGACTCTGAGATACGAAAATATTGTCTAAATACAAAAGGAATGTAAATTCTTAGTTGACTTTTGGTGTGCTTACGGTATTTTTCCATATCTCTACAGTTATCCCCTTTAAACAGTCTTCACTTCATCACCACTTTCTGTCCCATTGACAGTGGTCACCAGGACAAATAGAGAAGGTGAATCTGTCTACCCAGACACAGCCAGCAATAAAAACCTCACAGAGTCCCCAATAGTTTTCCATTCTATCCAAAAAATAATAATCTCTGTGTGCTCAACTGCTGATCATTCCCCTTTCTATAGGGTTAAGGAAATTATATGTTTGCTTTGCAAGTTTTCTAATTATTGGCTGAGCAAGGAAACGGAGTGTGGGAGAGACTAGAGGTACACTGTGTAAGATTAGTCCTCATCCATGGTTGTGGTGTGCCCATCCATAGCCACCTATGGCGTACAAAGCATGTAGGCACACATTTAATAGCATATTCAGATTTCTGTGGATCCAAATGGGTAAATAATTTATATACATTTGCCAGAACTAGCTCAGTATTGTATTGAAAGTTGATTGCAGAAGGTGTATATGGTGCAGGGATATTTACACAAATTCAGTTATACTCTCATTACTCTAATACTCTCAGGCACATTAGCTCTCCAATGGAATTAGCATTATTGCTAGACTGCCAGTCTGGGCTTGGTGGCAGCAGCTGACAAAATGTCTTGTTTGTTAGTTAGTAAAGCAAGGTACACGGGTCACTATAGCATATGCAGATACTAGCAGAATTAATTATGTTGTATAGTGCCTGTTGTAGTGTCCCTAAAATACAAATGCATTTGCAACACGTTCAAAGAGCAAGGATGCTATGCAAAGTGCATCAAGCAATTTCATTTGCTGTTATTTTATGTGTGTTAACAGGTGAAAATAGAAAACCACTATGACTTCCAGGATATCGCCAGCGTTGTGGCCTTGACTCAGACCTATGCCACCACCGAACCCTTCGTAGATTCGAAATATGATATCAGGATTCAGAAGATAGGAAATAACTACAAAGCGTACATGTAAGATAGCAAGACAGCTGGTCATTGTACATTATGATTTTGTAAAACATAATCTACAATAAAGTTATTTAACTACTTTAATTACAGTTAAAACTGACTAAATTGGTTTATAGAAAGACAAAATGAACAATGTATGTATTGTGTGAATAGACATACAGCTGACTTCTTAATTGGTGAGCACGCGAAGAACATTCAAAGAGAAACGTCAAGCGTACTTACTAGTTCCTTCCCACACCCCGAAAAAGACATATCTATATTTCATAAATAAAAGATATTTGCTGTGACACTGCGATTCTTCAGTGGAATGAATAGAAGGAATTGTACATAATATTACTGGATGAACAGAATAGAATATTACTGGATGTTGAGTTCTTATAGGTATATTAAGCATCAGCGATTGTTGATCCAGGGAATATCTGCTTGCCTTATGGGATCAGGAAGGAATTTTTTCCCCTGTTGGAGCAAATTGAACCATGCTTTATAGGGTTTTTTTGCCTTCCGCAGGATCAACAGTTGGTAATTGTGGGCATAGCGTTTTGTTTAGGCTTTTCTTCTTTTTTTCATATCTCTATAGGTTGAACTCGATGGACAAGTGTCTTTTTTCAACCTGACTAACTATGTAACTATGTCTTTGGAGAACATATTACAATGTATTTTCTGTATATTTTATTACTGTATATTGATCTTGGGAAAAAAAAAAAAGAAACCACAGTGTGAATCACTCCAAAAATCAGTGTTGTGCCCCACTCCTGTGCTCACAGATACATTCACCAAAGACAGATGACCCCGCTATGTTTTAAGGCCAAAAGTGCTTAGCTTGATAAATCTTCAGTATCACCAGTTTAAATTCTCTCCAATCTTCTCCTCCACGCAGGCAATTAAAAATGTCACATAGTGTAATACTAATAAAACTATTCAATTGATTATAAAAAAGCAACTATCAAATTACACTCACATTTGGTGGTGCTCAAAGCCAGCCAGCTCACCCACCTCTCCCATTGCACCCTTCATCCCTCAAAGAGCCATCCCTTTGAAAATGTCCTGTGTGATAGAATGTGCACATTTGTAGGAATATCTGTGGGCTGCAGAACACACCGGTGGTTCATACATTTTCATCAGGAGATGCGGGTGTTAGAGACGCCAAGCATTGTAGTGTATACAGCAGCAGAGAATTCTGAAAGTCTTATGCTTGTGATACTGAGGATTTATAAAGCTAAGCATTTAGGTCCTGAAAACACAATTGGCTCATTAATCTCTGGGCACATGAGTCGGGCACAGCACTGATTTTTCAAGTGATGTCACACGGAGATGTTTTTGAAGAATAATAGACACTAAGAAGATACATTGTAATATATTCTCAGAAGAGACTTTGCTTTACTGATTTCACTGAAGAGACTGAGTTTTTTTTTCTGGTCACAACGCATTTGGACTTTTTTTGTGCACTTATCTTTTATTCGTGGTCGGGTATATATTAATATGACATACTGTATAGCGCTATTTACCAACCTGGTGTGCCCTGGCTGTGTAACAGACATGCCTAAAAGGGGGCTTACTAGGAAAGAGAGTCGTGACAAAGGGGATGGGAGGGAGGGAAAACGTGAAACGCACATGTCAGTGTGAGTGAGTAGGGGGAGGATTATATGACCATAGACCCCTCCCACAAATGCAGGCTAATACACATAGCCTGAACACTTATGAAATGTTGTTTTGAGAGTGTGGGGAGGATCTAGTAAGTGCACTGTTTGTTCATGTGTATAATGCATCATTTACTAGTATTGGACTTTACTACACAGGTGGTGTTGATAAGCAGTGCCGAATTTATAATAACTGTTGAAGATGCAACAGCATACTGATTGTGTTGCTGACTCTAACTATGTCTATTGAGCACTAGATAGCGCTGTGGTGCAATGCTGGTCTATGCTAGTCTTTGTGTGCATGTTTATCTATGATCTATATGTTTCCTGTTACATAGTATTTGAGGTTGAATAAAGACATTAGTCCATCAAGTCCAACCTATTAGGATCTCATTCTAGGAGTACCCGTACCCCTGTATATTACGGTCCCTTAAGAAATCGTCCAAAAGTTTCTTGAACAATTCCACATTATTTGCTGAAATCACCGTTGATACTGTATTCCTGTATACATACATGTATTGTCCTGCTTAGCAAGTAAAGCTTAATTCAGCAGTCCTCAAGATCTCAGTGCTTCATCTAAACACATAACCAACAATAGCAACACACTAAAAACAATGTTGGCAATCCTTCTGGTTATCCTCCATCATTCTCAAATGGCTAATAACATCATAGCAGAAGTAAATACAGTATAATAAATCATGTTTTGCAGATAATAGGGCCCCTTCACACCATACTGCACTGAAGTAATGCATGCATCACTACACTCATTATAGTGCACTAAGGTGTTACTGTAGCTCATTCATTTTGCAACTGCACCAATGCAAGAAAAATTGCCTCAGCTTACTTTTTTTGTGTGGATTGTGGTGCACCACAGCACGCTGTAGCACACATGCATTGTGTATGTGCATTCGGATTCCATACATTGGGAATGGCAACACGTACACATTGCATTGCACTTTTACTGCTGTAGAGTACTCACCAAGAGCACACGTTGCCTCTAGAGGCATATCTACAGAAATTGTGCCTATGGCAAGCACTAAAATCGCTCCCCTTTCCAAAATCTGACACTCATATCTTAGATAATATCAGCTCAAAAATGCAAGTCAAACTTGTTAACGTTTGATTTACAAATGATGGCACTATGTTAAAATGATAACCATACCTTTCTTTCTTGCTTTCAGTGATGCAAATTGGTTTCTGATATGATCAAAGTCAGTTTTTTGAGTTTGTTGTCTTTCTACACTCAGCAGAACAAGATCACAGAGTCTGCCTTGACCCCTTTATCAGACCCCCCTTGCATCAGAGTCCCCAGAGTTCCCCCTTACATCAAAGTCCCCAAAATCACCCATTTACATGTGAGTCCTGAGAGTCCCCCCTTGCATCAGGGTCCCCCCTTACATCAGACTCTATAAGGGGGGACTCTGGTGGAAGGGAGAACTCTGGGGGCTCTGATGGAGCGTCCCCACAGTTCCCCCTTACTTGAGAGTCCAGAGTTCCCCCATATGATGCTTCTCAAGCTGGTAGCACTGCTGGAGAAGGCATCTTTCTTGGTGAGGTGGGTGGGTGGCTAACTGGAGGAGGTGGGTGGGCAGGAAATTCACTGAAGGTAGGTGGGCAGATCAGTAGAGGAGGTGAAGTCATGGAGCATTGTGGGAGCAGATAAGAATGCTGGGAAGGGTGGAGAAAGCAACACGGTATTGGCTGGTTGGCAGTCCTAGCAACCAACTGCCAATGACATCATTCAATCAGCCGTCATCATTCAAGCCCCTTGCTGCTGGTTGTTGGTTGCTAGAATGCCAGGCAGACACCAGGCGGTCCTAGCAACTAACTGACAGCAGTGAGATTGAATAATGACAGTGTCTGTTTGCTGTCTCCATGGTGTAGAGAGGTCACCAGCACTCAATTGGTTAAAGTGCAAATAGGAGTTGCTTTATTGTGGAATATTGTCACAAGTAAAAATGCCAACGTTTCGGAGCCAAGCAGTGTCCCTTCATCACAATGCAGAAAAAAACAGCATAGTCACAGAGAGTGAATCCCTCCCACTAGAAACAATACCCCCACCCTTGAATTTCCCTCCAAAAATGCATATAGACAACAGGTAAATGTAAAGAGAGATATGTACATCAATGATAATGCTCACATTAAATTAATATTTAAATAAATAGACAATGGTAAATTATCTCCTGAATGTCTATCATTGGTGGTATAGCTAATGACAGCGGTGCAACTGCATAGGTGGAGAAGAGGGAGGAGGTTGGGGTTAGAGTCCTACCTAATGGAAACTGAGGATGCAATGCTGACTGCACAAGCGCCTGAGCGTCGGCAGCCATACATGCCCATGGGGGGCAAGGCTGGGTCACAGATCATTGCTCATTGGATAGAATCTATTATTTGATTTTTTGTTTTGCTTGCCTTTTTCCTAACCTTAATCTCTTTTTATCTTTTTTTGTCAGTCTGCTCTCTCCATGGATCAGTGAACTTTCACTGACCCACAGAGAGGCACCCCCCAGGCCATGTGCCATACCCTGAATACACCACTGGTTGCATCTATCTATCTATCTACAGTATCTATGCCTCTATCTATTTATTTATCTATCTCTCTATCTATTTATCTATCTCTCTATCTATTTATATATCTATGATGATACATTTCCTTGTGTTGTGTTTTGTGTTTCCAAGGAGAACCTCCATATCAGGTAACTGGAAGACAAACACTGGGTCAGCCATGCTAGAACAGGTGGCAATGTCAGACAGGTGAGTCATGACTATAGAAAGATATTGATTAATATTAACAAATTATGTTTCCTTTAAGGTGTTGTTCACCACCAAATGCTTTGGAAAACTTGACGTATGTAGGAAGACAGCATATTTTGAATATTTTTTATTTTTTTTAAATTTATAGTCCCTGAGTCATGCCATCTTGTTAATGTATAATATCATGAGAGTGAAAGATTTTACTTCATTCCCAGCTTTATGAAAAAATGGTACTGGGAATTAAACATACAGATTACATAGAGGTCTCCTTTTTTTAACACTGTGCATTCTGTGAGTCTAACACTAACCTGTTAGCATGTTACTTGATTACATTAGAAAAATTTTATAAAAGGAATCCATCGCTGCCAAATAATTGTTGGCACTGAGGGGCTGCCTTTGGCTTCTTTTGACATATTTGAAGGTCATGTAAAGGATTTCAGCCTTTTTGGAATTCAATATTTTACCTGTATAAAAAAGGTTTAAGATAAGCTTGTCCTAGACTTCAGTTTTGGGGTTTTTGGACTCTATTGAGATGCTTATTCTGAGGGAGAAACAAATACACTTGCTGTTATTATGAAGATAATGAAATTCTCAATAAAGGAGACATGGAGAACAAATACACCACTAGATTTATGGGAATGGTTAAAACAGATATTTATAATGAAACAAAAGATCTGATCCCTCAAGGTAAAAGGTTTTAGACCTTTTAAAAAACAAACAAACAATGAAGTTGAAGTTACTAGATTCTACAGATCATCTGCCCATTTCTATAACAAAAAACAGGTGTTTTGTAGTCCAGCAGGAGAGAACTTAGAATTAGTCTAGTAGAAGCAGCATTGTCAGGAAGTTAGAGATGCATTTACTATGTTTGTGGTTTCCCCAAGCATAAACTCTAAAGTACTCTTGCACTCATGGTCTACTTGATAACTTGTCCCACAAATTATATTCAGACTTCATGAGATGCCTGAATGTGCTCATCTTACCAAGTGACAAGAGAGAGCATGGAGCCGGCTTTCTGGCCAATCAGGAAGCCAGGCAACGTGTAATGACTCGTTGACCGGCTTCCTGATACCGGAAGTATTAGGCTAGGCATTGGAGCATTTGGACGAGTACCAGTACTCGCCCAAATACTCGGCATTGGCACTGATACCGATACTAGTATCGGTGTATCCCTATCGGTAACGATCTGTGTTAGGCAAAAGGGGTGAAAGAGCTCTCACATTTCTTGAGATTTGAAAATTAGAACATTTTGTGATGAAGGGTGCTTTTTACAGCTGACAGCAGTTTATCAAGTTTTCCTTACTGTAAGTGCAGGTATTTTTTAAGGGCATCTGAAAATTAATGCATATCTAAACCCCAAAACAGAAATGTCATACAGTATATTGCAGCCTATCAGTCGTTAGATGAGGTGGCTGCATTAGTTTAATTTTCTTCCCCTTTATTTTCACCTTGTAATCCTGCAAAAAAAACTACACCCACTTCTCCATTGTATCTATGGAGGAAACCATGGTGCTACACAGGCTGGACTTCAAACATTTGTGCCCTTTTTCATCTGCTATGCATGGGGTTGATAGAATTTGTGGTTTACAGAATTAGGATAATATTGTTTTATGCTTTCAGATCGGCTCACAGGAAGTAACAAGATCACTGCATTTTTGGCAAAATCAATGGGTATTTTTTGCACTTGCTGAAAATGTTATTAGCCTCAAAAAATAACAAAGACAGTCACTACATCTAAGCACTGGTAAGCTGCAGTGTATTACATTTTTGTTTTTGGGTTTAGGTATACTTTAACTGTGAGCTGTAACAATATCTAACGTGTATATACCTGAGTGTGAATTTGTGGTCAATGCTTTCTATTAGTACTGCTATTAATATATCTCCTTACCTTACAGGTACAAGCTATGGGTTGACACATGTTCAGAAATATTTGGTGGTCTGGATATTTGTGCTGTAAAGGTGGTACATGGAAAGGATGGAAAAGATTATATCATAGAGGTAAGAAAATATATTACTGCTATACGCACCATTTAAATGGGAGGAACCTGGGCTGTATCTACATTGGCACTTGTGAGCCATTGTCTAGGGCAGAAGACAGGGCCATCTTTAATAATGATTAGACCCTGGGCAAACATTTTGTTGGCACCCCCCTACTATCCACACCCCTCCACCCATCTCTCCCAGCCATGTAATTTCGCTCTCCACCCACTCTCCAGCACTCAACCTGCACAGTAGATATGAGGAGAAGTCAGAGGGAGATGTGACCCAGTGGGAGATGTAACCCTGTGTGAGATGTCACGCTGTCATGCTACACGGCGTACGGCAGGGGCAAAGCAACACTATACGATGATGATCGTATAGTAAACAGAATGGTGCCACGTGTGTATCTTTTGTCGGCTCAAGGCCAGCTGCTTTGGGCCCAAAACAATGACTGCGTTTGGGACAACTGCCCCTTTTGCCCCACATTAAAGATGGCCCTTGCAGCAGGGTGGGAAATGCAGCACCAAACCTAATGTGTACAAATTGTTGTCTCTCCATTGCCCTTTTTTAGACATTCATGGCTAAATTCTGCAAGACAAATGTAGGGAAAGTGGGTGCCAGGATGTTGGGAGTTGCCAGAAGCCTCTTTATAGCATACATAGCATACCTACTCATATCTTTTGTTTTTCATCTGGGCATATCTATAGATTTTTAGGCCACCACCATTCTTAAAACCATCCATCAGTATGGGTTTTTCGAAACACTAGTTGTGGAGCCATATGAATAAACAGGCCAGGTATTTCCAGTCCCATGCACTGTACTTCTCGCAGTCTTTTGAGCAACTGAATAGAAATAGTCTCAAGAGGCTGCTGTCCTTTTCCCAAGCACATTGGACAACTTACTGAAATCTAGTTGCAGTGGATTACATAAAACTCTAATTGTTATACATTGATTGGCCATTCTGACTTTTTGCACAGTTCACTGGTTGATTTCACTTGTTGCCTCTTACATTTACGTGTTGCCTTCTTGAATGACTGTTAGCAGGATGTGCATTTGACTTATATTTGTTGACAGAAGTGCGCTTTAAAGGGACAGTACCATGCAAAGCCTTGCATGATGGACAGAAGGATTAACAGAAGAAGGATGGGCAGGGAAGGGGGTGGTTGCTAGGCAGTGTTTGGAAGCATTTCAAGCATGCCGAATGTTAAAATAGCAAAAGCAGATTTTGGTGTGAAACATTGAAAATCTTTAAAGGAACTCTCGGTGCAGGCGCCTGATTTGGGCTAAAGCTGACATTTGTCTCATTCTCTTCACTCCTCTCTAATGTGCCAACCATGGCAAGGCAGTGCTGAGTTCCATCCCCCACTGTGGGAAAAGAGCTGGACATGGGCATAACCAGGGTTTCTCCTAACCCTCTGTGGAACACACTAATCAGGAACCAAGGAAATGTTGGACAAGAAATTCATTGAAAGTCAAAAACTGAATTCTGTTTTCTTTCTTCACCTGGCATCAGTCCTTCACTTTAACAAAAAGATGCAGCCCTCATTTTTAGTTTAAAGAAAAGCACTAAGCATTGAAGTATACCTAATGCCCAAGCTTTTTTAAATATCAGTATGGTAAGGAATAGTCAACACCCCTTTCATGTTTTTTTTCCATCTGTGTGAATTGGGGAGATTTTTCTTCAGTTCCTATCCTATAGACAAAACAGGATGCAACAGGAAAGCTCCTCAAAGTGAGGAAAACGCCCTTTTTGACAATTATCACTGGAACAAGTGTCCCCATTTCTCCTGTATTCCTGTTCTGGTGAAAACTCACAAATCTGTATTTTTCCTCATGTTCATTCCTGATGACAGTAGTCACCAGGTCAAACAGAGTGACTGAATTTCCCTCAAAGAACTGGTGGCAGACAGAGAGTATTCAAGGTACAGGCTGAGGTCATGATGAATGGCCAATGGCAAAGTCAGGATTCAGAAAAGAGGACATTTCAGCTTGGCTTTTCACTGTAATATTCATATATGTCCAAGCTTTACGCTCCCCCAGGCCCTGATGCAGAACTTGTGGTATCCCTCTCCTTGGTAAATATTCCATAACTTCATTTAAAAGAAATATTCAAATCACTTGCAAGCTGATAAAATTTAACATAAGAAATAAAGCCTTTAAAACCTGTGAAAGTTATTTATTTTTACAACCTTTACCAATGTTGTAAAAATGTCCTTTACATTGAGAATGAAAACCTCCTTATCTACACTTATAAATATTTTCCTAAACTGCACAGGCAAATAAAAAAAATTAAAATACATATGTTACATAATAAATTGGAATTGAATGGTTAGCCTCCCATGTGTTATGCAAAGCTGCAATTTAATCATGTAACAAAATTTAGTAGCAATGTATCTCCTCTAATGTATGAGAGAGAAAGATTAATTGCCCAACTGCTGCCCATTTAGAGCTTTTTCCTCTGCAAGTATATTCCAGCAAGATTAATCACATAAGACTAGTTTCTTAGCAATCACCCAAATATTTCCTGCTCAAGGACTAAATAGCAACTTTATCACTAGAAGTTTTTTTTAAGTCCTTTGTAACCCTTGCTTAAAGTCACCCATATAACTGCGAGAGTAGTTGGACATGTGACATGTGGGGCACTCTAAAAACTAAGGCTCATTCACAAAATGGTGATGAATTTGGAGAAGGCAGGAGAAGTGAAAAATCTAGAACAACAGTTGAACTGGAAATTGAGCTGAATTGGAGACTTTTTCCAAATCAGCTATTTAGGCCTAGATTGTTCACTTCTCCTGCCTTCTCCAAACTCTTCACCCTTTTGTGAATAGCCCTGTAAGTCAGGAAACCACGTTGCACACTCATTCTGTTGACATTCCCCAGCTTGCGACATGATTAGACCAGCCTACATATTGAAAATTTTTTGCAGAGAATCTGTACACTTCATAATGGCTTCAATTCAACCCTAGTAATTGACATTAACAAGGTTTCTAATACATTAATTAGCAGAACACAGAGAACCAGAGATCTGCTAGTGAGACCTGTCATACATCCCATCACAACATGTTTACTCAGGCCTGGGTTATAAAACCCCTTAATTACTATCTTATAAGCACTTAGTGGAGTCTGGTAAGCAAAAACACTAATAGCTCATCAATTGTCAGGTGATGTACCTGGTACAGAGCATAATCGCGGTCATTACGCTATTTAGGTATAATGCACATGGATAGTCTGCAGTCAGATGACCTGTAAATGCCCTTGTTAACAAAGGCAGTTTCACATACATATCGTATGGGGTTATGAGGTAAAAAGGGCTAATGGCACACATTACACCTTCTGATATAGCCATATATCAGATGTCTATCAAGTTTGGTTTCTATTAAATCACAGTTTGGTGCTGCACAATAATCTATAGGTTAATTATCAGACTGTAGCCTGTGATAAAATAAAAATATAATGGCATATAGAAAACTGACATTGTGGTAGGATGTTTTTGGATTATTATAAATCGCTTCAGCCCTCGTGTCTCACAACCCTGGGCCTTTTTGATTGGGTGGAGGCTAGCCCAGTGACACCCTGTAGAAGGCCCATAAGAAGCTGCTTTAGGAGGTGGCTGGAACTCTCCTTTACCATAAAGAAAATAACTTCTGCAAGAGACTTGTTTTTAGGGAGCCAATCTCAGATCAATGTTATGCTTTATTGGCTGGACTCTGCTGCATTACAAATAATCCAGAACTTTTGCTAAGTAACTTTATTCCTATTCCCTTTTCGTTTTGCTGTTGTATTATTTTTCTCTTTTCTTCTGTGTGTAAAAGCTGTTACATTCCTGTCTGGAGTACTAACAAGCATCACACGCAAAGCTTGCTGAAATTGAATTATCACAGCTTTTGCTGGAAATGGTGTGTGTTTTGGTTAAAACATGTGGTGCAACTATTTTTTGTGTGTAAGGGGTTAACTGTGGAGTTACCCAACCCCTGTGATGATCACCCTCAGTCTGCTGGCCTTAGATTGTTGCCCCATGAGTTGGGAAATCTCTGTGTAGGGTGAGGCTAAGAGTGTCTTTGTCACAGGACATGCATAGAGAATGACTACCCCAAAGCAACATAATTGGTGCACAAACGTGATAACTTAATCTGAGCTTACAGTTTGTTGCCATGGAGAGAGGTAGGGGATGGATGAAAGAAATAGGTAGACTCTGCTGGTGCCACTTATCTCACAGGTTAACAAAAGCAATCAGGGCAGCTTTTCTAATCTTTTTTTCTCTTATAAGAGCTAATCAGCAGGGTTGGGAACCTTCTACAGACATCTGATCATTGCCGAAAATGTCAGTCCAACTGAAAACTGTAATTTCATGTTCATTGATGAAACATCAAGCAGTAGTGAGTGCACCACTCCTGATGGAAGGGCAGTGTCAGAGTTCCAGAAGATTGAAGAGTTACACTCTTAAGCTAGCCATGCCCTGTTATATGAATATAATAGAATCCCCCATCAATGCTTATGAGCGTAAATGGAGGAATCCCCTCCTGTTTCCATTGCTGTTTCCATCATAAAGAACCAGCCGAAATTTGCATAGTGTATGGCCATCTTAATTTGTACATAAAAGTTGACATTATTTATTCACTCATGAAATAAGTTGAAAATCATCTCATGCCCTGAAGCCCTTTTCGTACAACTAAAATTTAGAGCATATCTAAAGCCACAACTCTTTTGTCTTAGGCTAGAGTAGGGAAGATTTAAAACCTCTTCTTTTAAAACCTCCTCCATGTGTATCCCAATAAGGAAGTTTCCCTTTACGTGAGTGAAAATCTCAGAGAATCATCTAGCAGACATTTGTAAATGTAAAAAGTGTCTCTATTGTTTTTGGATTTGCCCTCACTCTCAATAAATAGTCACCAGGACAAAGAGCCACTTTGCCTGTTTGCCTGTAGAGCATTTTTTTAAATGTTTAGCACACATTTGAAAATCTGCATTTTAATAAAATTAGTTAGAACTCTCAATATATTATATTTTTGAAAGCAAAGGTCCAACCACTTGAAGAACAGTTTGTTAAACCCCATTCCTGTCCAGGACATTTTTAAGTATTTAGTGCTGCAGTACTTTGACTGACATTTATTCAGTCATGCAACGCTGTACTGAAATTCATTTCATATTATTTTATTTTTTGGGACACATAAAGCTTTCTTTTGGTGGTATTTAAGCACCACTGAATGTTTTATTTTTTACTATGTAACAAAAAAGTACCAAAGATTTTGAAATCCCTATGTCAAGCCTTAAAATTGTGTGCGCCTGCGAAATCGCAAAAAACTACCATACCAAACTGGCAATGCTTTAAAAGCTTTTATCGCTCATCAGTTTAGTGTTATCAGTGAATAAGTGCCCTAAAATTATTGCTCTTACTCCGACATTCGCAGAGATATGTAACAGGTGCACCTGACGCATGTTTGCATTTGTATGTGTGTGTTGGTGGGGAACAGTGGACTTTAAACTTTTTTTGTGTTTTTTTATGTGATTTTTAATTTTTTTTAATTTTTTTTTTACTTTACACTTAACTTTATTGCTATCACATAGGGGGCTAAGAAGCCCCCTAAGTGATAGCAAATATACAGTGGCAGGTCCTCTTTATGGAGACATAAGGGGTCTATAAAGACCCCTAATGTAACCTAGGCACCCTCAAAGAAGCTGATGGACAGCAGAATTTTAGTGCACTCAAACACAATATAACCCACAATTTGTTTGTACAAATAAAATATAAAGTTCTGTTGAGTAAATAGATGCCAAATATGTCAAGCTTTTACACAGCCTGCGCCCATGAAAGCACAAAAAATTACATTACTTAAAATTATCAATAGGACTGTTTTGCAAAGATCATTGTTTACATACAAGTGTCCGCTCACTTGTCTGTATTTGTATATGTGTGCGGGGGACAAGGGTGCTTTTAGATGTATTTGTTTATTTGCTATATTTAAACTTTTTTAAATTACTACTATCACAAGGGGGCTAATATACCTCTATTATACCTCTAATGTCCCCCCTGCCCTCTTCTCCAGCCAATCAAGCACAGACTGTGCTTGATCTACGGGTTATCCGGCTTTCCAGGTGGGATTTTGACAGCTCTGAACCTGAATCTGGATGTGTGAAAAAGCACATCCAGATTCACTCTATGCAGCGGACATCAGGTAATGGATATTGCTCGGTGTCCTCCTGCTTCACATCCTGATGCTCTATGTTGTGGTCCTGGGCTCCCAGGAGGAGCGGGAAAGACCCAGGACTACAGAAGGAGCAG